GTCGTGGGGTTCGTGAGCCCCGTCATTTTCATTTTCGAGGAAAGTGACGCCCCTTGCCAGCGCTACTTTCCGTCCAATCTATTTTTCCCTCGTATCACTCGCAACCCATCCTGCAGAATGTTCCAGGGTCCACGGCAAACACTCCCGAAAGTATCCAGGGTCGGTCTCAGGAAAGAAAACATGTCCAGCCTGGGTCGAAGTTCTAAAGAAGAAGACAACAACATCAACTAAAAAACAACAACAACAACAACAACAACAACAACAACAACAACAACAACATTCATTGCGACAACAGCAACATGGTCGAATGGCTCGTTGTTGTTTTTTAAAGGCCCTCGTGCTCAGGGTCAGGCTGAAAGGAAGGGTGATGGTGCGTGAAGACTATGCATAGCTATGCATACCAAGGACACTACATACAATCTTGCGACATGACGGAAAAATCGACGTCCTGTACTTCCATTCAACCATTTGCGGAACATCTGGTCGATGAACAGTTCTATCTGGCTATCTATCTGGTCGATGAACATTTCCTATCCAAGTAGCAGAGACAACCTGCAGTAGAGTTTTCCCCGTCAACACCAACCTAGCGCCGATCCTGGCACATCACAACCTAGAACTGAGCTACCCAGCGACAACCTAGCACCTATTATTCTATCGGGGGGGGATGAGGTTTGGGTTGGTTAGGGTTGTTAGCGTTTTAGGTTTCGTAAATCAACTGGTCGCTGGTTGAAAATACAACCAACCACGATGAGCCTGCTGTAAGGCAGGGTATCATTCGAGCCTCGGAACACCTCGGAACGTGTTGCCCTTTTTTTGTTCCTGCAGGCGGTGTTTTCGGTCTGCCGAGGGCATGGGTGCATGGCTTGTATGCATGCGTTGTTGTTGCCGTTTGTTGCTGTCTTCACATATATGTTGTAGAAGTATACTACTTTTGTCTACCCGGAATAAGTACAGTAGTTGTGACCACGGAAGGCGTCCGCGTCAGTTGGACCAGTACGGACATTATAGAAGATATTAATAATGTGAAGGCGACAACAACAACAACAACAACAACAACAACAACAACAACCCGAATAGAGACATCTATTAGATATATTGGGGGTACTCGTAGCATAGTATGACGGGTTATCTTTGGTACACATAACTACGGAAATTGCAGTGATGGGGTACGAAGGGTCCAGAACTTTCTGGACATTTTCCTTGGAAGTGAGAAGAGTTTGATGGAGATTCGGATAGGTCTGTTTGGTACTTTAACCGTGATGAGCGTGACGCGTGCTTGATGCCGTGACAGATTTACGAGCGCAAGCACGCCCCCGAAGAATACAATACTTTCCAATACTTTTGCATTACGTTTTCAACACGTTTCCTACCCATCCACGCTCCGCCATGAGCCACCCGCTTTGAGCTCCAACCACAAAGAACCGAGCCACCCGAATTATCGATCACGCTAGCGTATGACACGTCGTCTACGAGATTCGCGGTCGAGCTTGGTTTAGGAGCATCGCTTTGCGGCGATCAAGAGCAGGGTCACGATGACCACCAGGCGCGAAGATGAATCCCGCCGAGCAGCGGAAGCCCGCCAAGCAGCGGAGGACGCCAGGATCGAAGAACTGGTCAATCAACGAGAGAGTAGCAGCTCGGATGGAGCAGCTGATGGAGGAGAAACTGGCCAAGACGATGGCCGAGATGGAGGCACGGCATCGAGCCGAGCGGCAGAGATCAGAAGATCTCCGGCGAGGAAATGAGGAACAAGAGGCACCACACCAGCAAGAACCTGGGGGCCAACACCCAACCCTTCCGCAGACGATCTGGCCGACGCGATTGCGACTGCCATGGCCGGTCGCCTCCAGACTTCATCAGGGGATATCGGTGCAGTGCCTCACCCTGCAACTCTCCGTATGACTGAAAGTAGACGAATTGAGCTTTGAGAATTTTCTGCCCGCCAAGCAGCGGAAGCCCGCCAAGTAGCGGAGGATATTGGTTTTTGTTTGTTTTGAGAATTTTCTGCCCGCCAAGCAGCGGAAGCCCGCCAAGTAGCGGAGGATATTGGTTTTTGTTTGTTTTGAGAATTTTCTGCCTGCCAAGCAGCGGAAGCCCGCCAAGTAGCGGAGGATATTGGTTTTTGTTTGTTTTGAGAATTTTCTGCCCGCCAAGCAGCGGAAGCCCGCCAAGTAGCGGAGGATATTGGTTTTTGTTTATTTTGAGAATTTTCTGCCCGCCAAGCAGCGGAAGCCCGCCAAGTAGCGGAGGATATTGGTTTTTGTTTGTTTTGAGAATTTTCTGCCTGCCAAGCAGCGGAAGCCCGCCAAGTAGCGGAGGATATTGGTTTTTGTTTGTTTTGAGAATTTTCTGCCCGCCAAGCAGCGGAAGCCCGCCAAGTAGCGGAGGATATTGGTTTTTGTTTGTTTTGAGAATTTTCTGCCCGCCCAGCAGCGGAAGCCCGCCAAGCAGCGGAGGACACCAGGCGCGAAGATATTGGTTTTTGTTTGTTTTGAGAATTTTCTTGATTGTTTTGGAGAGATGGTAAAGAGGAATTTGGTTTGATGGTTTGTTTTGTTTTGAAGTAAGCAGGACTGCTGACAAGGCGTGCCTTCGTGGTACGGTCGACTACGGGTCATTTTGGTTTTTCTCGGAGCATGACGATGCATACGAGTAGGGGGGCTATTAGATATATTGGGGGTACTCGTAGCATAGTATGACGGGTTATCTTTGGTACACATAACTACGGAAATTGCAGTGATGGGGTACGAAGGGTCCAGAACTTTCTGGACATTTTCCTTGGAAGTGAGAAGAGTTTGATGGAGATTCGGATAGGTCTGTTTGGTACTTTAACCGTGATGAGCGTGACGCGTGCTTGATGCCGTGACAGATTTACGAGCGCAAGCACGCCCCCGAAGAATACAATACTTTCCAATACTTTTGCATTACGTTTTCAACACGTTTCCTACCCATCCACGCTCCGCCATGAGCCACCCGCTTTGAGCTCCAACCACAAAGAACCGAGCCACCCGAATTATCGATCAACATCAACCAGTATTATCATCATTGTCGTTCAAATTGTCCTTGGGTGTGGTATTGTTAGATGTATTCAAGAGGCAAGTATGGTTGACATCTTCATTGTACTGCAGGCAGCGTTCCATTTAGCTGTTGCGGCGTTGCGGAATCGCACTATTTCCGCCGCGAAATGGTAAATCCGCAACACGGCACGGGGTCTCTGTTACGGCTTTCCGCAACAAGAGAGTTAGAGAGCGCACATATTTTCGCCGTAGGCGAAAAAAAATGTGCGGCACTTGACGTCTCTCGCCGTGAGGCGAGAAAATTGTTTTGGTCCCTTTTTTCTCGCCTTCTCGCTGTGAGGCGAGAAAAATTGTTTGGACCCTTTAGTTTTTGATACGAAGGAACTTTTAGAAGCGAGACGTTTCCAGAAATGGGTTCAAACACGGCAAAAATGTTGGCACGAGAGGAGACAAGAGAGCACAGAAAACAGAAAAAAAACAAAAAACAGAAAATACTCAAGAGGGGTGTACTTGCTTGCCCATGTTACACCCACGGTGCCCCTTATTGAATGGGCAATTGAACCCGGCTGTTCACACAAGCAAGCTGCGGACGCAGCTAGCTACTACGCAGCATACAGCGGTCCGCGCGGACATGCTACAGCATGTCAACCTCTCAAGGAACAGAAGAGAGTCCTATCGTGCTAGAAGATGGCTGCAGCCAGCGCAGACAATGTCTTGGATGTGACGCGCCAGATTGCAGCCCGTAGTCTGTCGACGGCTTGTTCTACTGCGTGCGGTAGGTATAGCAACGGAAATATTTTCTTGTTGGTTGTTGGTGCGTCGTGTTTCCTCACGTGTGATTTTGTTGTTTGTGTTGTTGGTGTGTAATGTGTCTTGTCCTGCTCATATCCCCATGTCATTCTAAGATTTCAAGTGCAAACACACCAAGAACAAACACAATAAAACATCCTCCTCCTCGTCCCTCGTCCCAGCAGTCGACACTGAGTGAGTTGATTTTGAATGATTTTCTGCAACAACACTGCTTTGAATTATCAATCATCGTGATGTAAATTAAATACTCTCCAACATACATACAAACAATTTTGATCTGTTTTTGAATAATTTTCTGCAAGTATTACGTCGAATACCGCCAAAAAAATTGCCTCCGGCGGCCCTCCGGGGGCGTCTTGTTGCGGCCAACTGCTGCACTTTACGCCTGCGGCTTAAATGGAACGCTGACTGCAGGGACGGCTGCCTCCGGTTCGGTTCTGGGTTGGGGGTATGTATCCGACGGTGGACGGTGTATCCGACGCGAAGCAGAGAGCCCATAGCAAGCAAAATACAGCGTACAAATGCGCGTGCCTGACGCGCTGATCTTCCGCCACATTATAGTAGCCACACATATACATGCTCCGGAGAAAAACATCATGCATCATCATTTACTACTGGAAAAGCTTGCAGGAGACTACTACTGCTGTGTCACCTCAATAAACCGCTCCGCTCCGTGGTTCCACCACAAACAAGCCGATCCCCCGCGAGACGATCTACTGTGCGAGCACCCTTCGATTGCTTCGTTGCGCTTTCCTCTTGGCACGTTGTGTACGAGAGTGCCATCATCGGGGGACTAATCGCGGCGGGGCTGATTTCGGCACGACGAATAGAGTCGGCCGACGCCTACTTTCTCGGCGTGTGACAACGACGACACCAGACGCTGGCATTGTTCTCTTGTCGCTATTTCAGCTGATCTCGACTGAGTTCATGGTTGAACTCCGATCCCCCACAGTACCAAACTCCGATAACAGCATGCTATGTCACCAGCATGTCATCAACGAAGGTACAAATCCGCCATGTATTGCAGAGGGCCAGTGACACGTGACACCGCAGTTGGTCGATGCTGATTAATGTTCGATCACATCACCTCATTATTGATTGGAAGAGGACGCTCAACAAAACTACAGACAAACGAAGGTCGTTACTCGCTATGATCTCTGGTGCTCCGCCCTAGCCGAGGCGTGTTGCGGTTGGCTGTCTTTCGAGAGCCGTGCTTACCGTACTTGCTGCCCCCAAGAGCGGCGTCGAAGCACGGGAGTGACAAAAACATCACCCCCATCCCACACCAACCCGTCTCGACACCCAAACAGACATTTTCCCTTCCTCGGTCAAAACTCACTCCTGCCCTGCCGCAAGCAAAGTACTCTCAATTTTCCACCACCCAAGACTTCCAAACACCGTAATGTCCGCATTCACAAACTACAAGCGTCAACATCGTGCAGAACATACTTTGGTCTGTTTCCGTGCAGGATAGCTGGCCTGCGACTGACCACGGAAGGCATCAGCGTCGGTTGGAGCGGGGACGGATACCAGAAGGCACAAAGCAGAGACCCCCATGAACAATTTTGCGTCCCAGCTACAACTCCCTTTCCCCGATCGCACATTACACGGCGGGGGAGGGGGATGGTCCAACTATCACTCACTCCTCTTTCTCCTGGGAACAGCAGCCCTGAAACTACAATAGAGGGCCCAGCGCCCTCCCGGGCACATCGGTACCGAAAACAACGGCCTCGCCCGATTCTACTTGACGCATTAAGTTGCCCACCCAAACCCAGCTCTGGTACGGCGGAAAAAACCCACGGTAGATACCACATGTTTCGGCGTCCCTCCTCCTACATAACCCCTCCCGTTTCCTTCGCGGGGTAGCAGGCGGAGGTCAATTACCCTCGCATTTGACGGAAGCTGCTGCCGGAAAATCCTCCCCCGCCGCCGAACCCGCCGCCGCCGCCCGCTGCCGCCGCCGCACCAAACCCGGTGCCACCGCCGCTCTGGCTAGCGAAGGCGCCGAAGCCCCCCCCGGCTGCTGCCCCGGGGGCGGCAGCGAACGCGCTGAAACCGCCCGCCTGCGATGAGACGACGATAACGTCAACGACGATGACAACGATGATGGATGACCACGACACGACGACGAAAAGAGGAATAAAAGAAAAAAAAACATGGAACACAACACGGGCCTTCGGTGATGGAGATCCATACACAACACCAACAGAGGGAAGGAGCAAGCCAGTCATCGGGCAACGGGGTGTATGGAGTGGGGGCGAAGTTGCCGTGCGCTGCTGGCTCTTGGAGACATCAACACACAATTGACTCTGCTTGCTTCCTCTTCCCTTCTGCACGCCGAACAGCTGGCAAAAGACACACATCACGATAGAGGCGAAATCAAGCGTGCTAGGCGCACACGCCGCTCGCTGCTTCCCTCTTCCCTCTCCTACCGACACAAAACCTTGCGCTGCATCAAATTGTCCCTCGCACCGCCGAAAAGCAACAAAACGCAAGAAACGCCTCTGCAGGCGGAAAGGCTCACCCTCATCCCACCCACAAGTCTCACCGTAGGCGCTCCCGTTGCGGCCGGGGCCCCCGCCGCCGTCGCCGCCGCCGCCGGAGCCCCGAAGACGTTGCCGCCGCCCAGGCTACTCGGCGCGCCGAAGCCGGTGCCCCCGAAGGCATTGCTCGGAGCCGGCGCTGACCCGAAGCCGGTGGCGGGAGCACCTGGGAGACAACAAAGCACACACACAACGGCACGAGTTTCATTCCTATCGGCTGCCACGATTCACACGGCAAGCCTCGTCTGAGGCGAGATCAGCTCCACTAGAGGGAAGGACACGACGTAGAGGTGGAACACCATGTGCGGCGCTTCATCCACTGGAGACCGCGGGAACGAGTGACACCTCGATCCCCGGATCGGCGGCAGCCAACCTCAGGGCCATTTTTTGTCTAGCGCATTCACGTCTTGACGATGACGGCAAAGGAAGAAGCAGGCAGCCAGGGTTGCCCTGTTGCACACAGCTTCCTTGAAATTGCTCTTGTGACAACTACAGTTGTCCCCGCTTTAAGGACACTATTCTTAAGGAAACTCCCCGCTATAAGGACACAATGTTTTCCCAGAACATGGTGCCCCGCGGATGTACCATAATAGGGGGGGTACCTTTTCCACTAAGCGGCCCTCCCCATTTTTTTTGCTGGGGCAGCACACCTGTACAGCAGTATAACATCGACAGCGGTCTGCTGCAGCCCGCACTACTGCGTGTGGGTATGGAGATATTCCTCCCATCTGCTGGCGGGTGGTCAGCTGCCGGCTTGAAGCCATGTGGCGAACCCACGTGCCAGTTAAAGTCTCAACTCGTGTCAGGGGTTCACCAGTGCCCGTGCGGGCGATTCATGCACGCGTTTTGTGGTCGGGGCATCGGAAAGGAAGGCTACGGACAGCAGAGAGAGTGCTCGGATTGCCAGAAGAGCAAAGGTGGAGACCAGGCTGGCAGCAGCAGCAGTCCCATGGAAGTGGATGCCGAAGAAAACGAGCAGGACAGCCGCAGGTGATTTTTACATCAGTCCCGTCGGCGAACCTACGGAAGCGTGTGTGACTGTTTGTACAGCAGCAGTAGCAGTTGCTCTCTCACCACCAACGCCGCGAGCGTACGTCGCGATACAGCGGTACAACTGCTGTACCATTGTCCCGCCTCGTAACCCTGAAACGTTCTTTCGTTCTTTCGCGCCTGCAGACGCTGGCTTAGCAAAAATGAAGTCACCTCTGTGCTGTAGCTTGTGGTGCTTTTCGACACAGAACCTGCGGAAGATATCGACCGTGCACTATTGTTGCACGTTATAAGATTGACATGTTTCTTCAAAAATGGCTCTCTGTTCATCCTCATTATCTGCTGGTCTCCCGAGTCAAAAAAACTCCCCTGCAACATGATTGCAGCAGTACGCCCTCCCCTTCCATACGCGCCTTTGTTGCTTCTTTAGTGACGCCGTTTCACCGCAGTGTGCATGTATGATGTGTGCTGCGCACATGACATGCTGCACACGAAACATTTCAACACAGCAGTTGTCGGGTACAGCAGTACATATGATATGTACTTCGTAGTTTTTACCTCGGCACGCTGTACACATTGGTTTTCGAGTCAAGTACATACTTCCTGATCTCCTTGCCACGCATTTAATTCTCCCACTTTATTCTGATGACCGTGCAGCACTACACAACCATTTCGAGGGGAGGAGCCATCGGTTGGAGGAAAGGGGAAACGTCCCGCGGCTGATGCTGGTGTCGGCGGAAGCGCGGGGAAACGGGCTGCACCTGGTCGTGGCAGCAGTGCCGGCGGCAGCGCGGGTGGCAGCACGGGCAGCAACGCCGGCGGAAGCGCGGGCGGCAGCGCGGGATGTAGTTCCGGCGGCAGCATGGGCGGCAGTGCGGGCGGCAGCGCGGGCGGTGGCGCGAGCGGCACTGCGGGTGGCAGCACTGGCGGCAAGGCGGACCGCAAAGCGAAGCCCGGATCAGACCTCGGCCAGAACAAGCTCACAGTAAGGCAGCGATTGCAAATCGTCAGGGCCGTCCAAGGCGGCCAGCAAAGGAGCAAAGTTGCGCGAGACTTCGGCGTGGGCTAGGCGTACATCACCAAGCTGATGAAGCCCGAGAGGATCGCCTCGCTCGAGAAGTCCCGTGACATGGAGCTCAACCTGGACACCAAACGCACGCCAACGCCGGTACACGAGGACCTGGAAGCTCGTCTGAACCAGTGGATCAAGATTGCGCGACAGCGATTTGAGGTAAGGATCACACGTCGTCCATATCAGTCACGATTGATGTTTTTACCAGTACATCCCTCGCCGCCTCGTTTCCTGTCTGTCAAACGGTAGTCTATGTTGTTTATGTGATGACCTGTTGCAGCAGGTAGGTAGGTTGAGAGCCGCCTGACCGCTTGCATGGATTCCAACCGAAACCCCACATCGCTCGAACGTCCACTGCTGTTGTTGCTGCTGCTGCTGCTTCACGACCATGCAGAAAACCAAGCTCGGGTTGAGCGGTTTCATGATACAGACCCAGGCCACGAGGTTCGCGTCCGACATGAACGTGACCGACTTCACGGCGAGCAAAGGCTGGCTACATCGCTTCCTTGGTCGCTACGGCTGCGCGCACATCAACCTGCACGGGGAAGCTGGTGACGTGGACAAGGCGAAGGCAAAGAAGGGAATCGCGAAGATTCGGGAGCAGCTGGAGGGGTTTGACGTCGAGTTGATCTTCAACATGGACGAGACGGGGCTTTTCTACCGCTGCTTCCCGAGGGGCACGTACGTCACGAGGGCGGAGGGCGCGGCAGGAGTCAACAAGAAGACCGCGCGGGGATCGAAGGCCATGAAGGCCAAGGACCGATGCACTGTTGTCGCCTGCTGCAACACCACCGGGTCGCTGAAGGTACCGCTGGCCGTCATCCACACGGCGAAAGACCCCATGGTTTTCCGCCACGTTCGCAAGCCACCTTGCGCCTACTACGCCCAGCAGAGTGCCTGGCTCGACGCTTCAATCTGCCAGCGGTGGTTTGACGAGGTCTTCGTCCCCTTCGTCAAGAAGAACACTGGGAAAAAGGTGGCTCTCTTGTGGGACAACTGCCCAGGCCACAAGATCAACAACGACGACCCGCAAATCGTCATCATCTTCCTGCCCCCCAACGTCACGTCCGTCTTTCAGTCTACGGACATGGGGGTCCTGTTTGCCCTCAAGTGCCAGTACAAGACGGAGATGGTGATGAGGCTGGCGGCCCTCATCGAGGACTGGGACACAGCGCGTGCGCGCAAAATCCGAAGGTAAAGACTGCTGTGTTTTTTTGGGGGCGGCAAAGGTAGTGATTGGTTCTTGTGACTGCAGGTTCCGTTTTTTCTTTCTCTTGTTCGGCGAGTGACAAGCTGTTGCAGGTACTTAACGGTTTTGCAGCTGTAGACGAGTGCCATGCGACAGTAGTGCTGCAACAGGGTCTCCGACAAAAAAATGCCTGCCGTACACCACATCCAGCGAAACCCACCCTCTCTCCTGGCGGTTAAAAACTGTTGATCATTTCGTCTTTTTTTTACTGTGTTCCTTGCATCTTTGTTTCGCAGGGGCTGCCGGGGCCTGAGCGACGCAGGCCAGGCAACAATGCTGGATGTGACGGAGATCCTTTCGCAGAAGTGGGAGAGCTTCTCGGACCAGACTGTCGTCAGGTGCTGGCTCAAGGCCACCATTCTTCCTAGGGAACACGAGAACGCGCTCAAGGGTAGAGACACGCGGCTGGACCGAGAAGACAAGGAAGCGGACGCCTTGGACGACCTTTGCGATATGGTCAAGAAGATGTCCATGCCGGAGAGTGCCAAGGACTTGGACGCTAGGTCCATGCCGCGAGTGTTGTCGGACAACTTGTTCGTCGAGAGCGCCTCCGGCCTCACTGAACAAGAAGTGCGGAGCGCAGTGGACACGTGGCTTAGTGTAGAGGACGATGAAGAGGTCTTGAGGGAAGAGGTAGAACTCGAGATGGAAGAGGTAACGGAGAATATGTCAAGAGTACACGTCGAAGACGACGCGTCCAGTGAAGAGGAAGACCAGGACGGTAGGCAAGAGTCGTGCATGAAATCTACGATTTCAGAGGCCGAGGTTCGCTCTCGTCTCGAGGATGTCCGCTACTATTTGTACGCGAACGGAAGAGACGGCGAGTACAGCGAAACGGTGTACCTTCTTTCGAAGACTGTGCATTCGTTCACTCATGAAACTCAAGTCAAGGAGGGGGGTGAGGTGCAGGCGACTCTTCGGGATATGTGGGCGATTTAGTTTTTTGTGTTTGAGGACAACACACTTGGCATGCCCACAGTCGTTGTTTGGGATTTTTTTGCCTTTCTCGTGGAGTAAAATTTTGGTTTTGTTTGGTGTTTTTTCCTCGTCTTGACCTTTGGGGAAGAACGGTGTCCTGTTTTCGGTGTATTTGCCCGATTTTTTTGTATGTTGTACCGACCGTTTATTAGTGTCCTTCTAAGGGGTCGACTGGGTTTGTTTGGTCCCTATGTGGCAGGTAACTTGCGTGTATCGTATCAGAGCTAGTTCCAAGGAACTGATGTGTCTCAGGTGTGTTCGCGATATCTCGGGCATGATGTTCACGGTGAGGATAACGCCTTGACAATAAGAAAAGCCTGCAGCAACACCAGCGCACCGCCGTACACATTACAATAGGTCGTGCTGCACTCCTTCCCGCGTTTCTAGGCGTTTCGGTGGTGGAGGGAAACAAAATGTGTTACTCTATTGGAGTACTACAGCAGTAGTGTTGCGGCCTTTCAAGTCACGTGTTGGTCGTAGTTTTTAAGCAACACAGTTTCGTGGTCGCATTCCTGCTTCAAATGCGCGTATTTTGGCATGTGTTACACCTCCATTGGCCCCGGGGACGGTGAGTTAGTGGCCCCGGAATCCTAAGGACACTTCCCCGCGTTACTAACACTCCAAAAAAAAAAACGCGGTGTGTCCTTAAAGCGGGGACGACTGTACCGCGTCAAAGCGGGAGCTTCACCTGTAACAACTACCATTCTACAGTACTAACTCACCGAAGCCAGTTTGGGGCGGTTGTCCGAAAGGAGTCTGCTGCTGTGGCTGCTGCTGTGGCTGCTGTTGGCCGAAACCCGAGGTCGCTCCGCCGAACCCGGATGCTTGGCCGAAGGCGGGCTGCGCCGTCTGGATAACCACAACACAAAAAAATAGCAGGAAAAGAACAGATAATACATCGTTCAAGAGGGCATCAAGAGTAAGTGAAAAAAACCAATGGAACCACGAAGAGTGGAGGGAGGAAGAAGAGGGACTGACGAAACGGAGAGGAACGAAAGGGGAGGGGAGTACGAAAACGGGAGGGGGCGAGTGAAAGGGGAGGGAAGTACTGGAACATGATTAGAAGATAGGAGAATGTCATGAGGAGACGGAAGAAAAAGAACGAAATATAGACAGAAACAAAACCAACATGAAACGACAGGAATTAATTTGGAGCGATAGAATGAATAGGACAATGATAAATCAAGGGGCAAGAATGCAAGGGAAAACCGAACAAAAATGTCACGTTTTCAAGAGGTCAGAGAGGACGCCAGCCAGTGACGACCCAAGCCAATCACAGTGTTCATGGGCAGTGTGTCTAGAAGCGAGCCGTACGATGTGTTGGTGTCGAATAGCAAGCACAGACGGAGCGCTCTAGTCGACACTATGCGCAAAGCATGCGAACCGCCACAAAAAACGAAGGACGACACGCACAAGACCAAACACAACGCCAAAATGATGCCAAAGGCAGCTCTCCTCCAACGCAAACAGGTAACGAACCACCAAGAGCCAGCCAAAACAAACCCCCAAAGACAACCCTGCCTCGACGACGATCGCAACGGCACGCAACATCCTGAAACCCACCTACACGCCACAGAAAAATAGAGCAGCAACAAGGGGTAAGCTCAACCAAAGCCCATGACGTTGTCACCGCTACCAACCAAAGACGCGAGAGGCGATATTTTAAGACGGACAGACCTGGCCGAAGCCCATGGGAGCCGGCTGGGACGCCGCCGGCGCCGGAGCCGCGCCTCCGGGCGCCGACCATCCGGCGGGGGGCCCTACGCCGTACTGGGCATACTTCTTCAGGATGCCCTCGATCATCTTCCACTCGTTGTTCCTGGAGGTGTGTGTGTGTGTAGCAGTTAGTAAGTCAGGTGTTTGGGCCATTGTGGTGAGCATGGATGGGAGGAGAGAAGACGCAATAATTTTCCGACGTGGGAGATACATGCACCTGGGAAGTAACGCTTGCTTGGACACCGCACATGGGCGTAACAGAAACACCTCCAACCGAAATACACACAAGGCAGACAACGCGAGTGTCGGTGCACGATGTCGTCCACGAGGACCAAAAAATACCACCACAACAAAGAAAGGCCCCATCAATCAACACAAATCAGAAGCTTGAGCGATGAGGTATGTCTACGGGGGTAGTCCAATCTGGGTTTTGTCTGTAACACAAAGACTGTACGTTCCCGTGGCCCTATCTCTCTCTATATATACATATATATATATATCCTCCCCCCTCTCACGCTCACGTGTACTTCACCAGAAGCCGGTCGATCTTCGGCACGTTCTCCGGCTTAAACTTGGTGTACACCTCCTGCATCCACGCCCGAAGTACCGCGGGGTCACCTCGCCCGGCCGGCGCAGCAGCAAACGGCGAAGCGCCGGGAGCGGCGGCGGCGGCGGCGGCTGGAGCTCCGAACGGTGAAGCGGCCGGTGCGGCGGCCGGGGTAGCCCCGAACGGGGAAGGGGCGGGGGCGGCAGCTCCAAACGGAGACGGGGTGGGAGCAGCCGTGGCGGCCGGGGCGCCGAACGGGCTGGGGGTGCTAGAGACCTGGGTGGCGGTAGCGCCGAAGCCGAACGCGGCTGGTGCTGGAGCGGCGGCAGCAGGCGTTTGCTGTCCGAAGGGTGACGGGGCAGCTGGGGACTGGAAAATCGAGCGGGGACGGGGGGAGGGGTTTCCGGAAGGTTCATTTGTGTGCCTTAGTTCATCGAAAATGTACGCCGTAGTACGACGAAGCCCCAATGAAAGAACGGAGTCATTTCACTCGTCAAAGCACAAGCAGCTTCTTACTTCTAAATATCAACATCATACGGGACACGAGTGCACGTGTATACGCAAAACGTGTCTGTTCGCCCCTCAAACGCGCAAAATACATCCATCCGTGACCCGTCCGGCCAATCACCAACCGCTGCGGCACGAACAGCAACCACCACCCTTTTCACAAGTGTGTGTTGCCGTTCCCTACCCACGCTTGAACACCTTGCCGCTACGGTTACAGCAGCAATAGCGGTCCCCGTACAGAGACGCATAGTGCCAATGGATTAGGCCGGCGGCATCATACCGGGCACTCGGCTCTATTCAGGGTACCAGCCAGCTTAAAATATCCCATCTGTGTCTAGAACGTCTTGTGTATGTGGCCAACCACAGGGATCCCGGCCGCTGTCCTACTGATAATGTCGCCGTTGTCTACTGAAAGCATAGCTGGTGAGACTCGCCTGACCGAACCCGCCCCCAACGCCAAACCCCGTCGGCTTCGCGGCGCCGAATCCCACTCCGGCTCCGAACGGTGACGGCGTCGCCGCCGCCGCCGCCGATCCGAACAAATTACCGGCCGCAGAGGCACCAGCGGCGGCGGGCTTGCTTGGGGTGGTGAACGGCGACGCGGCGCCGGCAGCGCCGGTCGCACCGGCCGGTACGTTGTACTTCTTCTTGAGCTTCTCGATCAGGGTCGCCTCTCGACCACTACGTGCCACCGGTGGTGATAATGTCGGTGGGTGGCCGCAGTTTGGTGGAAACAGCCGTGAAGAGGCGTGCGGGGGGGAGGGTGTGGGGGGGGGCGAGTGTGGCCGTAGTCGTCGTGCCGAAGCACGAAGACGAGAGGGAGGGTGAGAAAGGGAGAGAACGGAAATGGGGTCGATGAGAGGTTTCGCTCAAATATTTATGTTTTTCATCATGGAGTATGTGCGGACAAAAGGAAAAGGGGCGCGCTGGCAGAACAAAACAACAACAGCATCCAAAAGAAAAAAAAAAAACACCAAGAGTATCGCAAAAAGCATCACCTACAACACGCCGAAAGACCTGCGGTAAACCGGCGCCAGAATAGGTGGGAGGAACACACACACACTCACGCATATTTCTTGAGGATGGTGTCCACTTCGCCCAGCTTGCTCGGGTTGTACTTGTTGTAGATCTCCAATACCTGCCCTCGGTAGTCTCCCGGCCCGGCCGCCGCGGCCGCCGCCGCCGCCGGGGCCGGGGTCGTCGTCGCTGCTGCTGTTCCGAGCGCCGCTCCGAAGCCGCCCATGCCGAACGCACCCCCGCCGCTTGACGCAGCGGGAGCGGGGGCAGCGGCGGCGGCGGCACCCGAGGTTGACGCCGCGGCGGAAGACAGAGCGCTAAGTCCCGCAAACCCTGTTGTTGCCGGAGCAGCAGCACCAGCAGCACCAGCAGTCGCAGCACCAGCAGTCGGAGCCGCCGGCGCCGCCGTTGTCGCGGTCGTGGCCGTCGACGTCGCTGGAGCAGCGGCGGCGGTGGCGGTGGCAGCGCTGGTTGCAGCGGACAGAGACCCACCCCCGCCAAACATGCCAGCGCCCTTGCCGACCCCACCGAACGGCGAAGGCTTGGCAGCGCCGAACCCGCTTCCGGCACCGAACGGAGTCGGCAGCGGCGCCGCTGCCGCTGCCGCAGCAGCTGTAGCAGGGGCGGTAGCGGCAGGAGCGGCGGTGGTAGAAGTTGCAGCCTTGCCCGGCGCCGGGGCTGCTGCTGCGGCAGAAGAGGACTTCGCCGAGCCGAAAACGCTCGGCGCCGCGCTAGCCATGGGGGGGAAGCTTGAGGTTCCTCCCGCAGGTTTTGCTGGCTTCGCAGCAGCAGCAGGAGCAGCAGCGGCAGGGACGGGGGCCGTCGCGGGAGCCGCAGGAGCAGCAGCAGGAGTCGGTGTTTTCTTGGCGCCCCCGAAGACGCTCGGCGCCGTCGCGGCCATCGGCGGGTAGCTACTGCTGCTGCTCTTCGTGGCGCTGGCGGCGGCGGCGGGGGCTGGCGGGGGCGCAGGTTTTTTATCCTGAGCAGCAGGGGCCGTCTTCTTCGCCGCGGCGCCGGCGGCTGAGTCAAACAGCAACGCCAAACGCGTCCCCAC